TCGTAATTTACTTGTGTTATCGCTTCAGTGTTATCACGTACGTTTCGCTTTGGATAATTTGGTTGTTTAACTGCTGCTGTGACCGAATTGTCCCTAGTCGAGCGGCTAGCCGACGCAGTCAGATATACGAAGCCGTTCCAGCGCCCGATCAGCCTCAGATTTATCTTGGGGGCACATTCACGCGAGACACGTTAATTCGATACCAACCCGGTCGTGAGAATGCACCAACCACTGCGCAGCGACAAGCTACTTGCCCGACCGAAATCGAGCCCGCCCTTCTGTTGCCGCAAGATGGCACACAAACCGGTCAGTGATAAATGAAAAGCATTTTGATTTTCTTTTCCTTCTTTTGTTTTCGTTTTCTTTTGGCTTTGGTTTTCTTAAAAAAATTTTTCTTGCGAAAAGAAACTCCAAAAAAAAAAAAAGAAAAGAGCGCAAAATTCAAAAAAATATTACAAATGGAGTCACCTAGTATGTTCCGATGTTAAGCCGTCAAATCGTCTTCATCGTCCATGTGTTATGAGTACAATATGCGTCCAGTGAAGGCTAAAAACCGCAAAAAGTCAAACTCGGCTCCAACACTACACCGCGTCTAATCGGCCCTGCAACCACATCGGCGTCGCCTCGTATGAGGTTCGCCTTAAGCTGGCAAAACGTTCACTTTTGGCCAAATAATGTGACTGGCACCCACATCGGCCTAGATTCCTTTTCATTTCGCTAAGACGGACCTCATCCACCCGTCAAAGGAATCGTCCAGCTTAGCGGTTAAAAGAGTTCCAGATCGTAAGCTGTGTAACGTGCGTGCTCATAATACCCATCATCATCTCGCCCTGGAATCTTAATAGCGGAACGTAGTCTTAACATTCAATGCGCCTAAATATTATAAATATTAACATTTTAACCGGTTATGGTAAGTACATCAGCATGCTCTTCGGTCTTGTCTACACCTCGCTGTCTCCTTGGTAAGTATTTGTTCCATTTCTTTATTTCCAGTTCGTTAGTTTTTATAATCTTCAATTTTTTTGTTTGTCTCTAATATTTTATTATTCTTTAATCCGACAATAAAACAAATGCTTCCGGAATTGTGATTCGACCATTCAGTCAAGACTCCGCCAATGTTCCAACCTTTCGCAAACTCAGTAATGTTTCGACTGCATTCGCAATCGCACGAATGAATATGGCTGCCATTGCGACCTTTTCGACTTCACCCGTACGCCGCAAAGTGACGGCCGTCTTCCCATAGCCGTAGATTACACTACAGTACTTGATTCGCTGTACGCCGCAAAGTGACGGCAACCTGTCGTCCGACTATTCCCATACGCCGCAAAGGGACGGCAACTTGCCGTTCATGTCCAGTCAGCCATACACTCTGCCTAAAGCACGAGATGTATCTGGACACAGCGAGAGAGAGACACAGTAAGGCAGACCACTGGCCTGCACGCGCACACGTGTTATCACTCACATCACGCGATCGCCATTTTACCATAGCAACGCTACAGTAAACAGTTCTACATATCCGTACTTGGTAATTTGCATACTTATTTATATTGCATTGTGTTCTTTAAACATAATCATGGGTCGCCAAGATAGGTTAAGTATTTACGAAGTCGAACTCCTGGAACTTGCCATCCCTCACATCGTACACCTACGAATGAAGCCAGCTCGTTTGGAGCCATCCAAACGCCCCGACATGACTTTAGTGCGTTACATCATCCTGGCCGATCTCAGGAAACATGTCGCACCTTTTACGGGCATCCAAGGTGCGGGCGACCGCGTATTCCAGCGTATCTTGGTAAACTCCATCAAAGACGTTTTTCCGAACGTCTTCCGTGCCAAGGACAGAGTTACCGACCGCACCAGGCTGTACGGTTTACAGCTGATCCGCCTGTCCTTCCATCTCGAACCTGAGATCTACATGCCCACCGACTTACGACAGTGCCCGCGCTCCCAGTCCCCAGAAATAGAGGAACGCTTTGGTGCTTTGTTTTTGCAGGACAATAACGCAAACGCCGAGCCTTCGCTCTCAGACAGCGGGGAAGAGGATGAGGCGTTGCCTCAGGAGGCGCAGGATGAAACCATGCCAGAGGGCCCGCCCCAACACCTGGAGGATGATGAGGGGGCCGTATCGTCACGCCTTCGACCGCGGCTACCAGTAGCCAACGTCGAAGACGTGGCACCACCGATCCAGTACGCATTCACACACGAAGTGGAATGCGCCGTGCCCGTCTCCACTCATCCGGATCCTATGGACACCTACGATCAACCGGCCCGACCTGATCCGGACCAACGGATCCGCATTGCCGCCGCGCATTATATGAATATTAAACAACCAGACGGCGTTACTCCCGACATCCTGAAAGGCGCCCTAGAGTACGCGCGCGGCGAGTCAACACTTGTTTTTCGCGAAATCGAGCGCCTGAAAGAGGCGGAATGGGAAAAGGCGGAGGCCACCGTCATCTGGCGTGTCACCCAAGATCACCGCCATCAAGAGGCAATGGCACTCCTCGACCGCCAGGAAGAAGCACAGCAGCTTCGGGAAGACATGCACTGGATCGAAGAAGAAGAGAACGCCCGACAAGCACGCGACGATCCTGAATATCTTCCTTCCCGTCCATCTCGTAAGCGCCCATATCACCGTTAATTTTATTATAAATTATTTTATCACGATTTAGGGCTGCAGACTGCACCATGCGTGGGTGGCTGACCACGATGGCCTTTCTAAAGCCATTTCTATTTTATTTAGCCAATTTTGTCCTTTACTACGTTCTCTTTCCTTTTCCTATATCAACCGTGTGACTATCATTTTATTTTCATTTTTGTTCCTGTTTTCGGCTCAGGTGGCTGAGCCTTTTTGAGAGAGACCGGGTAGTGTCACGGGTACACCCGTGATATACGTGTTCTTTGTCCTTCCGGGCATGTTTGTTTTCATATTTATATCGGCGTAGCCGCCGATATCAGTTCGGTTGTTCTTGGTTTTGTGTCTGCTCAACAACAAACGCTCACGGTTGCTCGCGTTCTGTCGTTTCGCCACACATAGCGAGTCGCAGCGTCTCCTGCGACAGTACTATCAAGGAACAAGGTCTATATTACAACAACTCCGTAATCTCTGGATCACAAAAACCAGAAGTAAATAGAAAAAAACTGAAAACGCTATTCGATTCAGCAGGGTTAGAAACTGTGGCGCATGCATTTTGTTTTAAACATGCGAAGCAGCCAGCACCGCCCTGATCGGGCGGCTCCGACAGGCCCCCCCCCCCGTGGCGGGTGCCCACTACACACAGTTTAAGTGCAGTAATGTCTGTAATGTCTGTACTATGTAATGTTTATTTACTGTTTGTTCTTGACATGCTTACAGCACATATGTAATATTAACTCTTAACAGTCATTATGCAATTCTTATTGACTTAAGTGAACACCACTGATGCACGATTCACCTCAATAATTTTTTTATATGATTACTTTATCAGTTTATCCTGCATTTAATATAAATTTTTTCATATCATATACCTAAAACCCAGGACTCATTTTATTTTTCTCCTAAAATCATCTGTCAAATATGTTACAGTATTGCACTTATCATTAAAAAACCACTCATAAATGACTGCCAATAAATATTTATCAAAATCTCATAAAATCCCTCTTACATGCCGATGCCAAGACTTTTCACGGTTGGCTGTTGTATGCATGCATTACAGACTGTACACCACTGAGTGTACAGCAGATGTCCGTTGTAACAGGCGGGCAACCATCCAGGGGGCTTATTACGGAGGGGGGCGTTATTATGGGGGAGGTGCAAATTCGATAATTACGGTATATGTAATTTCTAAATATCTAAAAGCCGGCCCGTGGCCCGTTTACCCTATTCCCTCCCCTAGCGGCTCCGTGACACCAGCTGGTGGTAGCGTGGGTACTCACTAACCCACGTTGCTCTATAATACTGGCGGTAGCTTGGGTATTCACTAACTTCGAAATCTAACAAATATGTATATTTTATTTTAATAGCTCGACTGAACGGCTGAAAATCTTACAATTAGTAGCTAAAGATGCAGCCAGCGAGGTCACCTTGGGCAACCGTTAATTGTTTCCCACAAGTTTCCATTAATTCTGCGCTGAAATATTGGCTGAATGGTTTTTTATGGGCGTCGTGTAAAAGATCCCACTCCATCCATTTCATTACCGTTTAAATATTATCATTCGTACCAAAAAATTCAAGTTTTCAGTTCGTTAGTTCGGCAACATAAAGTTACATTAAAAACGTGAAAAAGAACCGTGAAAAAGGCAAACAAAAAGAAAAATTACGGAGGATTTCACAGCTTTTATAAAACTGGTCGCATTTAACCGGAAAGCGTGAAAACTGTCCGCATTTCTATATGTTTAAAATATTTTCGTAGCTGGCCTCGCTGGGGTTTCATATTTGAAATATTTTTCAAAATCTTTTTTTATTGCTGTACGATGTCACTACGAAGTATATTTTGTATTTCTTTCATTCTTTCATACCTCGAACACAACTGGTCAGCGCTAGCGTGACCGATACTTGTTACAAGATAATTTTAACCCTACGTCTAAACCTACCAACAACCAATCAATAAAACTATTGACAGAATAACTCATACAAACACATCCATTCTCTCCACTCCAGTCAACTCCATTCAAACTATGCTTTAAAGTTTCGTCAGAGAGCTTTATACCGCGAAACATTTGTCACTCAAAAACACGAAAAACCACGAAAATCTCCAAACGATTTTCAAGCCTCCATATAACTACTTTTCAACACCAACTAAGCAAAAACAACATACACACTGCAGACATATTTCATCCTGAACTCACGAACGTACGTACGCCTGTCGGAAAAAATATCAGCTCTTAAGGCCGCTCACAGATGCCGGTACCCGTACCGGTATAAATCAAATTCTAAATCTTAGCAGGATCAATCTTAAGGTGGAGGCGAAGGCGAAGCGGTTACTTGTAACAAATGAAGCAGCCATTTATATTGTGCATACCTGCTTTCTCGTACCCGGAAAACCCGCGCACCATCTCTTGGATTCTGGCTTCTAATCGCGGTAAGAGTTGGAAGTTAATGGGTTCGCTGCTGTATACTGTGAACGTCATCCACGGGTGAAATGACCATCTGCACCACATCAACCCACAGTTACATATAACTTCTTATTATACAACCACGATTCAGCAGAGGCCACATACACTCCCGGAAGCACCTGCGGTATAATCTGCATGATTTCGTTGGTAGGATACTTCCACAGGTGCCAGTATGTTCCGCGCGTCAAATTATGATAGGAGATTGAGAACAGGAAATGGACTATGTTAAGCCTGTAGAACCAGAAACCTCATGCTCGGTTACGGAATTTCCGAATTACAGTAAATAGTTCAACGTAGCACTAGCACGTACCCTGGAAGAGCGGGCTTCTCTTCCCTGCGACTGATCAGGGTTATTTCATAGAACGCTGGACTGACTAATACTGGGTTGGCTTGCGAAAACGCAGTTAACACTGCTTGGTGGACGTTTTCCGATGACTGTTAAAAGTTAACAAACAGTCTCGACAGTAATATCAGAAAGGCAAGCTTAACGCTGCTGCTACAATCAGTGTGTAGGTGTTACAGTATTATAGAATGCATTTTTTTTAAATAGTTCGCAGTTCTCATTTCAACAATAATATTTTTCAATAATATTGATATTACAGATATTATCTGTTACTATTGCAATGGTTACTGAAATTTTAATGCAACATTAATATACGAATTCTAAAAAAACAGCCGTTAAGCAGAACGCTTCAAATTAATGATATATAGCAAATTAACGATAGCAAACGAATACCGGCAGTGTATCGTTAGATGAAGAGATGATTGTCAGGTTGAAAGCCTCCTGCAAACGACAAGCTTTCTCATCGTTTTTCGGCCCCTGACAATCCCGCTGCAGCGATGGATTTTCAACGACCGGCTGGCGGCTAATGTACAGTTCACGAGAGAAGGGATGCCCAGGCATCGCACTTCGTCCGAATTCATTCTCCAGTCGAGTGTAGATATTGTCGGCATACGGCATACGTGCATCCAAATCAGCAACGACTGTTCCGTTTATCAGCAGCCGCACCAAAAAGCTGATCGTTGTCCCGGTATCTAGGTCCGGATTCCACAGTATCACCTCTACCGACTGGCCGTCAACTGCAAATAACACAAGCGGCTTACCACAACGCGTATCGGCATCGCTTCCCCTGGCTGGGGTTATTTTTCATCTAAACGTTGCATGTATTACGGTAATCATTTGCACATCGTACAATCAAGTGCATACATTTTTTTTGAATACACGTACAGATACCAGCACAATATTAATTAATAAGAGTATTTTTTGTACAATTAAATTAGTGTGTTGTTAGCCTGTAACAACATACCGAGGTAATAGTTGAGCTTTTCAGTGAATTTTTGTTGAATGAGCGGTAGCAGCTGCAAATGCACGGGTTGCGACGTGTATACACGGAACGACCGCCGCGGATCAATTGGGTCGACGTCAGCAAATGTGGGCCGATCGGCACCGGCTGCAGATGGGTTGGGATCCAGCAACCATCCAATCCACACCTTATCGTCCACCACCGTCAAACAACTGGCATAGGTCATCTGCAGCCTAGGACGACATGACATCACTGTAACTCACTAGACCTTTATCGGACCCTTTTTACCAGAAATTAATGAAAGCAGCCTCGAGTGAAATAGCGCAAGCACGTGAAATAGTGAAAGCAACCACGAGTTTTAAAATCTTTATCGTAAACGAAGGTAACGGATTTCGATCTCTAGATGGGTTTCTCTAGATGGGCTAATCGTAAACGTCAAATCGGCAGTATGTAACTCTTTTAATTTTACTGTGTAAAGTTTCCGTTCAACTTGGATGTCCAGGTGTAGTTCGTCAGCCCGCCCACACGCACATCCACGTTCCTCTTCTGGGCGCACGCTTCCGATTGGTTGCGGGAAAGCTGCCGACAGCTCTTCCTGGCTGCTGCCAAGCTGGGATGATCCGAGTGCGGAGAACCGGCAATCGCTGCCATCTGAGCCGGTATGGGCAGTTGATCGTGGACACGGACTCCTTTTTCCTCCAGTCTTCCGATGAAACTCTCCAGATGGGGAGGGGCAATGCGCTGTTGTGGACGCTTAACGTAGCGTTTGTCCTCCAATGTCGGACGCGGTTGCGGACCTCGTAGTAGGCGATTTTCCTTTGAGCGGAAGATGGTGTAAATGATGCGAGTAACGGGCGACCTGTAGTGTTGGAGGTTAAGTAACACCACGGGCGATTTTCGGTGCAAAAATTGTGTGTTAGCTGGTAAGCGGCAAGTATCTGAATCTGGAGGGCAAAATTGTCTAGTCAAATTTACCCGGTGATAGTAAGCGTCTCGCTGGAATTGCGAAATGAGAGGAATCGTACGTGTGGCGCATCTTCGGCAGCGGCGCTGGGACTGCGTGTGTAGGCTTCTGCAATGTAGTTGTTTCACACAGTTCAAAAAAGGCGTTAGTTCCTTGCTCTTCGTAATACTTCCTGATAATTCGATCATGGACACAATAACTAATTCACATTATTCACTGACCGACAATTTGCTTTTCTGCGAAACCGGCGTTTTGCCGTAACCATTTTGTTGACCGACACCTCAGTTTTCGGTCCGCTACTTGGGTTTCTTATTTTTCCGGAGATTTCTTAATGATTTTTCTTGAGCTGTTTTAAACTATATATATATTTGGGGACGTTCTCTTGTCGGTCAGCAGAATGTGGTTAGGAGGTTGTCGGAATCTAGCAAAAAAACGTTCAGAAACCTATCGGATAGGGATTTAGCAAATCGTGGGGTAAACGTTTTGTCGGTCAGCAAGAGTCACCAGAAAGCTGTACATCATTGACACAGCGTTCTGATGACTCTTGCTGACCGACCGTACCGTACATGTTTTCTTTCTATAAATGTAAATTATAGCCTTTTTGGAGAATTCGGGACAGCTTTGTACATAACAAGGTATCACTTTGTGCACAACTTGAAAGTATCTGAAGCTATTCAGTGGATATGCAAGTGCTGAAGTACGGATACGCACCAAAAGTGGGCGCCCAAGCGTACGTCAGCGCTTCTTCCAACTGACTTATGGAAAGGTTGTTGGTGTGAATGACGACGCTGTGCAGACCGATGCGCGCTGGTAGCCCCAAGATAGAGTTGAATTCCCCAAAGTATAAAACGCCTTGTTGATCGGCCGGAATGTCGGTCGGCACGAGATAGAACCGGGCACCGGTCATCCGCTGCATGATGTCCACGAGCCATGACAAATCTTCACCTGCGTCTACATTTGCCTCAGGACAAACAGTAGTTGTCAGACGCGGTTCTACGATAATAACAAACGATTGAGTATTCAGATGCCTGTTGAGACTTGGGGCAAAAAGGATAATAAGGGCTAGTTAGGACGTTGTGACTGTTCCATCGAATCAACTGATCGGCTGATCAGAAGACTAGCTAACCGGAAAGTGTATTCGTAACATCGAAGCCTAAGTTTATTATGATCGACATTTTATCAATTTATATGACGGAAAGAAATTTTGTAATAATTTACACGTATCGACTTTTACCGGATATCCGCGGCCGTGCAGCTGCGCTGTTGGAGCTCGTCATTTGGTTGCTGGTTCGTATGGCGCAGTAGGTTTGCACTGTTAGTAATAAAAAGCAAGCCAGTGCTCCCAGACCACGGCGATCGGCCATGTTTGTGAAAAGCAGAAGTGGTTAAAGATGATAAATTATGTATGCAAAAAGTGAAAACATCATTCGCAACCCGGTGCCGGCTGTCTGCTGATTACTCAGTGCAGACTGCAACAAGAATATCAGCTAATCAATGGCATCGAAAGTTTATGGAATGACAACTGACAATAGAAAATTTCCCGCTACTCACTTGGCAGGCATTTACGCTTTGGCCCGGTTCCTTTGCCAAAGAAAAAAGTGTTCTCACGATGAGTATTAGAAAAGATATTTTCAAGCGATTAGATCTTATGACAATCTGAATCTGATCATATGCTACAGGTACAGTTCACGGTACAGTCTGTACAATTGTACTGTACTCGTGTTCGATAAACGTTAAACCACGGCATTGCCGGCACTGTAACGACTCGTATAATTTTGTGTGCTCGGCTATATTTAGCATGTAAGGACCTAGATAAAAACGTTGCGCTTTTGTAGAATTTTGCAACAAGGTCAAAAGAATTCGAGGCACCTTATGGCCATGATGAATACGGGTTTAAACTTCAACATCAGTTTATACTCGCACTTTGCGTAAAAAATTTTCAGAAAAGCAATAACGGCATCATTGCGACATCAGAGAGTTTGCGATTATTGAACATGATCTTTTCATTTGAGTAGTCACACCAAATAAGAAAACGCAATAACAGTAACGGTATTTGTGCCGTCAAAGTAACTTGAAACCCACAATTACGTTATCGGTACGACAACTCCGCATGTGCTAACACAGAACGCAACACCGTTAAATTAGTAAAATGGCGCATTAACAATCTTGCCAGACATACTGCTCCCCAAGTGCTTATTCATAATGTGATCCTGCGGATTCCGCCACGCAGTCCCGTGCTTGCCGGTCTCGATGCGTGGATACGTAACAGTGAAATCAAATTTCACTACAGGTTGCCTGCAGATTGTAACACTGCTTCGTAAACTTCTATAAAAAAACCGTACTCGTTGACTGATTGACTTATTGTACCCGTAAATAGTCAAAAATCCATCGGTGCGGCGCGTCAGTGTGATATTCAATTCAACGGAGACTGGATTAACTTCCGCGAACGCATCACCCACACCGCGCAGAACGTCATCGGAATCCTGCCATCAGAATACCAAACCGTCATATATTATTACTAGTACTTCAGCAGGATATAAGATCTGTAAGCTATCCCCAATTGGCAGATGTAAAAACCGGACCAGTATGTATATAATAGTTTAGCAATCTTCACAACGACTCTGCGGTGTGGTTTTTTTACAACGAGCTTAGATTCCGCAGACACGCTTTCTCGGCACTACCTTTCACTCCGTTTACGACTTTAGCCCGCCAATACGAACCACAATTTTTTTAGTGGCTAGTGGCTATTTTGATCTTTATTTTTGCCGCAGCTGTTTTAGAGTTTAATTCCACGCTCGGTAAATGTTTGCATAAAACGCTTTTACTTGTGGAGCTATATGCAGTCGGTAGTGCACCGAGAAAGAGGACAGCAGACGATTGAACCGAGCGAAAGATTATGAGCGGGATGCATGGTCGTTTTCATTTTTTTTGTATTTCTTTATATTATCGGGATGATCCCGTTTCGAAATGAATCTTCTCAAAACACGTCCTGATGTGGACTTTATAACAGGGGCGGGGAACAGTGGTGAGCGCTAAATAAAAAAATTTTAAAATACGATATACTGTTTGTATCGTACCATGGTGTAAGGAAAAGATGATTTCATCACAAACAAGGAAAGGACAGACGGCAAGGCACAGCTCTCGTCAGCATCCTCCTGACTGCATTTATCGTGAGGCGGCACATTCTGTTTGTCATTAACAGTATCATTCTGTTTATGGTCCAACGTTGCCGGCGGATGCCGACTCAGTGTAATGGGATTGCCGGCTTTGTCACTGTTTGGTATGATGGGTTCCCTGGCGCCGTCATTGAATACTGCTGCCATCGGATTATCGGTGTCGTCGCTATCCAGATAAATGAATCTTGTATCAAATATCGTATCAACTTTCATCGTGTTCCTGTCCAGCTGCAACCCGGAGACTTGTCGATAGATCCAATCGCTGCTTTCCCGCTGTGAATCCACAATTCCACTCGGCAGTACTTCAGAATCGATGACGAGAAAGTTGATGACGGTTCCATTGGGATCAGGATTCCAGATGACTATCTCTGTCAATAACAGATAAACTGTATTATAAAATAAAATAATATCCAGAGCAGAAAATGGTGAACCGCCATTAAGACGACGAAAATTCGCCGATCGTCACTTAAGTCGAACAGAAACGATGTACACCGGTCACGACGTCGAGGTAAGGTTTTGCTAAACCGTCTTAATTTTCTCAGATTGCCTTATATTCCTTAGGCTCCTAATAAATTTCTTAGTAGTTTTCTTAGGATTTCTTGGTTTTTTTAGTCGTCGCCTTCGTGACCGTCGACGTAGTGCGGTCGACGAAGTGATAGTCGACAAAATTTCGGTGAGCCGCAGAAAACTAACTGCTCATCAAAAATCGTTTGATGATATAAACTTATACAAGGGAGTTACTCTGTGGACGGTTAGAAATGGACAGTCACTGTGAAACAATATGAGAAAGGCAAGCCTAACAAGATCGTACCTGCGTTCTCATACGCCTCGGAAGAGCGCCGCAGGGCCCTTTGCATGGTTTCTTGCAGTGTCGGTAGCAGCTGCGAGCTAATGGGTTCGCTGCTGTACATAGTGAATGTCATCGACGGATCGAACACCCAACTGCATCAAATGAATCCGCTGTTTGGCAATCGCTTTTACAGTCTCACACGACACACAGGAAAATTGGCAACGTACATCTTCCCCGGAAGTTGAGATGCTATCGTCTGCGCGATTGTTTCATTGCTAGGAAATCTCCAGACATTCCAAAATTTTCCGCGCGTCAGATTGTAATAGGAAAACGAGAACGTGTAGCGCACAATATTATGCCTGCAAAATGGGGAGCCTAATTTTGAAAATCAGAATTAAAGACTTCGACGTACCCCGGAAGTGTAAGATTTTGTTCCTGATTATTGGTCAGTGTGATGGCAAAGGACGCCGGTGCAATTGAGTGTGGATTAGCTTGAAAAAAAGCCGATGACATTGCTTGCTGAACCGCTTCGGATGACTGTTAATAGTTGACACCAAGGTATCATCAATTTATTGAATAAACTTTAAAGGATTAGGAAAGTAAAATAAGGATTTTCATAATTAAGATATAAACCAACAGCGTTGGATAGAATTAGTAAAACCTAAATACCGGCAGTTCACTGGATAATGATAGCGTTGTCACGCTAAATGTGTCCTTCCAGCGACACACTTCCACATCATCGTTCTTCCCATGACATTCTCGTTCCAGCGATGGACTGAGAACAATCGGGTGTCGACGGATGTATAGTTGACGGCTGAAGGGATATTCGGGTTTGTGTTGTCAGACCCGAACGCTCGCAACAGTCGCGGGTAGATTGCATCGGTATACGGCAGGCGTGCGTCCAGGACAGCAACGACCTTGCCGTTTATCAGGAGACGTACCAGGAAACTGATCATTGTCCCGGTATCCAGATCCGGGTTCCACAGCATCACATCCACACTCTTGCTGTCATCTTACAATCAGAAAGACCCATTAGTACGTGCTCAGCTTATTTCTTCTCGGGCTGCCATTGTATTAAACTTCTCAGCGTTGCATTACGAGCACGATACACACAGTCGTTACTGTTAGCGGCAACGAATTGTATAATAATTATCAATTTTGTAAGCACTGACGCTCACATGTGGGCGCTTTATTTGAACTACTTAGAGTAACGGGAAATGAAACATTATCCGGGACCAGGTTTGAATATAATTGTACCGCTAAATTTGTGACTGCATACCATATTGATAATGGAAGCTTTTAGTAAATTTTTGCTGAATAAGAGGAAGAAGCTGGAGGTGCACGGGCTGTGACGTGTATACACGGAAAGACCGCTGCGCAGCAATAGGATATAGGTTCGTCAGTGTGGGACGGTCGGCACTGGGTGCCGATGCATTCGAATTCGGCAACCACCCAATCCACACCTTGTCCTCTACTAACGTCAGACAACTGACGTAGGTCACTTGCTGCCTAAAATGACAAGGAGCCGGATCGAATTAACCGTGGGTTTTTTTCTAGATCATTCTTATAGGAAACAACTGTAATGAATTACCATGTTTCTCGATTTGAAAAAGGTAATGTTCATTTGTAAAGGTTAAAAGCGGAAATAAGGACTTTGCCACTTTACTGTGTGTAGGTTCCGTTCAGTGTGGATACCAAGGTGTAATTCGTCAGGCCGCCCACACGCACATCCACCGTCTTATTCAAGGCACACGCATCCCTTTGGTTACTAGGCAGGAATCGACAACTATTCTTGGCTGCGGTCAGGCTGGAATCCTCCAAAGGTAGAGAATCGGCGATCATGGCTATCTGAGCCGGTATGATCATTTGATCGTATACACGCACTCCCTTCTCTTCCAATATTTGAATGAACATCTCCAAACTGGGAGGCCCAATGCGCTGCTGCGGATGCTTACAATTAGCGTTATTCTTGCTCTCCCATATTGGCACAGGTCCTGGTGGGCGAATATGCGCTGAGCGAAAGATGGTATAGATAATGCGGGTAACGGGCGACCTGTACAGCGCAAGGTCAGGCTATGCAACAAATTTTTTTTATGCGCGAAACCATTTTGCATTAAAGGGTAGACGGCGAGTGTTTCGATTGAGAAGGGTCGAAAGGAACGTGGTCAGTTACCCGGTGATGGTGAGCGTCTCGCTGGAATTAAGAAACGATAGGAAACGCACATTCGGCGCATCATCGACAGTGGCGTTGGGACTTTGCATATAGGCTTCTGCAAAAAAGCATTTTAAAGTGACCTTTCAAGGTGTGATCCTAGTTAATGATACGAGTGTTACTCTTTTTATTAATAAACAACGCACAATTCTGGTAAGGAAAAGAAACACGCAGTACTATTCACAGCAGCAAAACTTCTTTTAAACTATCCAAACAATCCATGGTACCCAAAACAGATGCGGCATTTCCGCGCTGAATCTCAAGCGATAATCGTTGGGTGTTGGTAGTAATACTAGTACCGGGCGTGGTACTGATTACGGAAATGGCGCTGCTATCAGCCGTATCAGGTATACTTCGATATGCCTCAATAACGGATCACTTTGAGTACACTGCCTGAATTGAGGACAGGTCTGATTATACGAGGTACAATGTACAAGCTTGTCCGGTAATTTCCTACGTAAAGGTACAGCTAGCGCGAAGTTTGCGCTTATAACGATGGCCACTTCACTACGTTTTTCAAAATCTCTAAATGCGCTCCGCAGTTAGATTGTCGCTTACTGCACTGACCATTTTCTGGCCACCTTACGCCAGGCAATTACTGTTATTCTCATTAAATTATATGGCGTATACCAAGCCACCAGCCAGTCAAATGCAAGTTACGTGTTTAAACAGTGTGGCGTGGCGCGCCGTAGTGTGAAGTTTGGCGTAACACGCAAATTTGTGTAAGTCGCTGTACTGATTCGTCAGAAATTACCGGACAAGCTAGTAGTAGGTAGGTACATATCATGGGCATTCGTACACTACATACATTCGTTAAACATTATGATCATTATGGGTATACGTTCTGGTATGCGTATTTAGGCCATCGTACCGAGTGAATGTTTTTTTTCTTAATTTTTACATAAGAAATCGGTGCAAGTAGCACATCTATACGTACAATTTGTAGTTTACATTCTTTTGCATAATATTGCAATGTGCAGGCTTCGCAGATGTTGAGACGTGAAAGTACGGTACGTACCAATACTGGGCGTCCAGGCGTACGTAAGAACTTCTTCCAATTGGCTGACGGAGAGGCTATTGGTGTGTACGACGAGACTGTGTAGACCGATAAACGGGGATAGCTGCAGGGCATAACCAATATGCCCGAGAAATAAAACTGCCTGTTGATCGGGCGGAATGTCAGCCGGCTGCAGATAGAATCGGGCACCGGTCATCCGCTGCAAGCTATCCACGATCCTGGACGCACTGTCAGACGAGTCGGTGTTGTCATCGGAACACACGTTAGTTGTCAGGCGGGGCTCTACCATTAATACAGAAAACGGTTGTGTTTTCCATATGGATTACGGCAAGATCAGCAACACCACTATGGTCACACGATATACCGGGTTTCAATCAAACAACCGCTTGGTGCGCCACCTGCATATGTTTTGTACGACCGGTAAATTACTTGGTTGCGATGTATACGTAAGCGGTAATTTGTGACTAACTGGATTACTCTACTAAATTATGCTAATCGGCTTTTACCGGGAATTAGTGGCCGTGAGGTGTTGGGGGTAGTTATCTGGTTGCTGGTTCGAACGGTGCAGTAGGCCGGCATTGATAGTATTAGCAACGTAGAATAAATCAGTAAACCTATGCCATCGCGACCCGCCATGCTTACTGGAAAATGCAAAAGGGAATGTGTGTACCTAGATGAAGCATCAAAAATGGGAAATTGGTTTCGAACACGGTGACGATGACAGAAGAAAGCGCGAACTATCCCATCTAACTATAAAAAACAGCACCGGGCATTTTAAGCGTACTGTAATTTTTCCATGCCCAGTAACATTTATCTGTACGCTTGGCCTCAGAACAACATTATTTTGCACGATGGATATGTGGAAAGATATTGACAGACGATAAAATTTTCAGATCCGATCGCATGCAGTGCCGCGGTACAGTCGGTGTCCGACAGAACTTTAACCAAGGTCTTCCCGTTACTACATAGTATAGTAATTAATTATTGCACACTAGAGATAACATAGTAAAATGACTGCGCGCAATGTTGTTATGCTGCGTTACTGTTTTTAAATTTAATTATTTAATGAATATTTAATTTAATTTAGCAAATACATATTTATTTAATTAGAAAGTTATAAACATTCTCCATTTGATTGTTTCTATTGAGCGAAGCTCGCTTTGTACATGTAAATTATTTTTCTTGAAGCATAATTTTTTTATCCCGTAAATTATACGTCCCATTAATTAAATGAAATTATATTAATCAGTTAAAGAATAAATCACGTTAAATTATTAGCATCAAGTGTCCGGATATTTATTATGCGCCTGTGGCCCTCCGATACAACACGATTACCACTATACCACTGCTTGCGTTTATCTGTCTGTATTGATCCACTGTTTACTGCTGGTCCAACACATTCTTTTTTGCTACCATATTCCGTTAGCGAGGCATGCCGTATTCATACGAGTATTTTGTTTCGTCTTACCTTCCTAAAAAAGTTGGAAAAAATTGATTGGGCGTACTGTAGCACCCGTGCATTTATTAACTCGGCAAACAAATCTAATTACTTTGGGAATAACTGCTGTCGGTCCTGTAATAACTACCTACGATTTTCCAATCGACAGTCAGTGCTACCAACTATTTTTAAACCGTCTGTGACGCGAAGAGAGGATAATCGATTAAAGAATTTGTTAAATTATAGTCAATCTTCCATCGTGAATTTTGCATAATAAAATAAATTCATGATTTGCACTGTTAGAAGTCTGTTAAATTACCGCGACGCGCGCCGCGATCGATCCTGACCTTTCGCCGCTTAATCTACCTGGAGATATCCGTGAGAGCCGCTGCCAATTTCGCCACGTGCCACTCAAGACACGCTTAATATAGCCCCGCTGCTGCGCTCAGCACAATATGAAAAACTGCCGACACAGCGGCAGCTGCTGCGTGAGGAAAAACAGCCAACTTCATTTTCCCTCATTCATAATTGCCCGGCTGCCCATTGTCAACCACATGTACACAGTGGAAACCGACTTCCGTCTGCTACACTTGTTTATGCTAATCCCCTCCTCATTTCCCCTTGACCGGCTGCATCAACATTCATAACTCGGATTACAATATACCGCGGTGTGGAATAGCTCCCTCGTGACCTTTCCCCACTGTACAAACACGATCGACCAGCGCGCCGGCATTTGTGCGCACTGTTTGTTCGGCTTTTATGCGCACTCATTCTTGGAGTGCTAATATTGTTGAATAAGGAGCGCGGGAGAGACGGGGCGGAGTCTGGATACGCGCTGACGTCACGTCACGCTGGAGTGAAGATCTTCTGGATACAATATATATAAGATTGGTGTCTTGTGCGGTGTTAGCCCGGTTTTCTTTGGATACACTTTCAAGTTTGATCGGTTAATCTGTTTGACTGCCGACTTAAGACACCGCTTTTTTGGGAGTGTTGCTCGACGCTGACTTTCTTCGTGTTGACCTGACACTGTCTCGCTTAACTCGTCACTTCCTTATTCCAAATTGGTATGTAACGTTTCCTGTATTATTAATTGTTGCATTTTTTGTTTAAAAAATCATTTTAAAAATTAAAGCGAAGCCGTAAAGTTCTTAAGCGTTATTTTCGCAGCGATTAAAGTAGATTCGATTTATTATTAACGATTTCAACACAAATAAAATAAAAATAACAACAAAGCTGTACATTCTTTAAAAGTAATTACCGGACTTATTAGAAAACTTGATATTAATTTTGTTAAAAAATTTTACAATAAAATTTTTATTTTTTTTTTAACAGCAACCATATTACAACCAAAACCGAAAGTTTTTACCGAAATCCTACTTTGGATGTTCGCGATATTGTAAAGAAATGATAATAATGTAAACACTCCTAAAATTTTAGAGTTTTTGATAGGTTTTTTAGTTTTTTCGCTATGTACCGGTACTCTGTATATTGCTTGCTCTGCGATAATTATTAAGTTGCTTATAACTTGCTTGCATTTGTTCCGGAATTTACGAAAGCTCGCGGGTGTTTACTGTTGTTCACCCAAATCCAGAACTTATTATTGGAAAAAAGTTTGGTGGTTTATAAATTTGTGCTGTGTAAAGGTCAGGTGTTTGAATGCTGACGCAGGCAGGAAACGGCATGAGCCGTTCGGGAAACGTGCTCGCCGGTGACAGCCGCGGGCCGTTTATGCTGTGTGACACTTTAATTGTCCCACTCATCCAGCCACTCAATTTACGCGCTCATTTCGCGTTAACTTTAACATGCGTCAAATTAACTTAGCGCTTCCAGGGCCGAATCACAGGGAATATTAGCGGGATAAAAGCCGCTTTCTAATGACATTATCCTCACTCATCCTTACGTACTCCTGCCGTTTAATGGACACACGACACTTGCGTCACTCACAGAAGCGCTCTGTCTAAAATAATCGGAATTTAACGATGTTTTTTCGTTATCTGTTCGCAATAATTTTATTTTCAAAGAAATAACGAGTACGTTATTTAGGTAAATGGAATATCCGCGCAGGTTTATTTTATATTTTTAATAAGGGTTAAATATAAACCGGAGAAGAAATTTATTAAAAATTTTGTACTTAAAATTAAGAATAATAAAATAGCATAAGTGTCCCCTATGTGTTAATCACGCGTTATTATTATCTGATCATCAGTTGCGTTCATAAATTATTATGTCATACGTTTTAATTTATGTAATTATTTATGCCGATTTTCTGCATCGAAAAACGTTGATGCTAATCTCTGGTAAAGTGAGGTGTTCTGCTTTACTAATCTATATTTATTATACCGGCTAAATACTGGTCTTGATCGATTTCAGTTTTTCTGTCGCTTAACAAAATAAATTACCTGAATCAGTAATAACTACAGTACGAGTAATAAACTCGTATCTAATTAAGGGTTTTACTTAAGTGGCATGTTACCGCTGTATTATACCGGATACATGCCATCCTTGATCGATTTCAATTGCAAATCCCTAACGAAATAAGTGACTGTACTTTTCCTAATGATATTAAACACTTTTGAAAGAAAATTTGATCAACATATAACTACCAAATAACAATGATCAAAAACTAAATCCAAACATTACACATAATCGAAGGAGTTCCGGGAGACCTTTAGCAAGACAAGTAAAATTAATCTGACAGACCCAACCTTGAAGACCATATCGATTTGATTACTAAAGCACACCGGGATTGATTTATATCACATCGTCTGTTAATTTTCCCGCGCCGCCGGCCACATTGACATGATTTCCCGTAGCCGCTCACACCGCTTGTATATTTCGCTTAATTGGTCGGGTGGGGCGTTGCGTATTACTCATCACAGCGCAACCCGGCCAATTATCCCGTATAGGCCCATGCACACAGCAGATTGCGGTGTGTGATAAATGTCTTTGGTCGCCCGCGATAAGGAAGCCCGGTTAGGGAAAGTTGATTAAATTGCCGGCCGCGGCTGGATGGCCATTTCTATGGCCGTTTGCCGGGGCGCAGATGGGTTCCGGTGCGGTGATGAAAGTCCTCTTTCGTCCCTCTTGTATACACGCCATTCCCATCATCATCATCATGCATTCACTCCCGGCGCCCATTGATGGCGCGTTGTATAAGAAGGAGGTCATCACAACATGGCAATTGTGTTTGTTTTTTTCCCGGCAAATGCCGGATTAGACACGTTCAGTGTGCGTAGTTGCCACGGGTTTGGGCACACGCAGACAAATACACTTGCCGAAGAGTTTAATTTTGTAAAGAGGTGACGAAGAAGAAAATACTGGGTTATTGATTCCGGCTAGGTAGTGTCCGTCGGTTTCTTGCGGTTTATTGACAGTTAATCTGGTCGCATTTTAATTTGCCCTTTATATAAAACCTTAATATTAATTTATGTACATATACACATATTTAATACGGTTTATTGACAATTAACCTTGGTCGAATTTTGATGTTATCTTTAGATGAAAACCCTTCTTATCAATTTGTGTACATATGCTTATTTAATACGTTTGTTATTTATAATCATCCCCTTGTTAAATCATTAACACCTGCAAAAAAATTCAGAAATTTGGGATGTAATAGACGCTTTGAATACGCTGATAACTGCCTTGCACGATTTCTAAGCGGCTCATATGTTAATGCTGCATCATAATGTAAGGTGCACAAAATTGTGTAATTGCGCAGTTGGCGAAATAACAGTAGTCAGTAACTAACCATCGACAGTTGGGTAACAGTAATTACCGTGAAATTTCTGTATGCTGCTTACTGAACCGGATTTTTAAGATACTTAAGTTAAACAAGATACATAAGTAATAATTTTGTATTTAATTTCAGTGATCGCCAGCGATAAGCATAATCAGAAGCGCGCCGGAAATTCCCATCCCACCGGCAGCAGTACCGCGGGAAGATGGAGTGGAGCACGGGACCAGTGCCGACCATCGTCGTGTACGGCTTCCTCTTCTGCACGGCCGTTCTGGGACAGATTAACGAGCCGCTATCAGCCGACAAACAGAAACCGGTAAGATCCATGTTACACAATGGTCATTCTTGCACTCGTATATCTATACAGTACAAGCAGCGAGTGTGATACCACAATTGCGCAATCGGATATTTCCGGATGTGCTAAGGCTGCTCTAGACATACAGCAGATGCAGATCTGGGTTGGGCGCGCCGGGATCGAATGAATTTAAAAGAATAAAAGTAAACCTAAGCATCACATGCTGTTTCTATAATATAAATAAATAAGCAAATTTTAGTTTTATATAGAGTAGTAGCGGTGAGATTCGTGGATAGTACCCAAATTAATTAGCTGAATTAAAGCACTCGGCAAAAACAGCACTATCGCTGGCGGAAATTTTCGGGATGGAACACAATTGTTAATAGAGAATTAGAAGCAAAGAAAGCTGTCGGAAGAAAGTATAAGAGCGCCAAAAAACTGAGACCTCTGCGCCCAAAACTGGGCACGTGCAACTATTGCAAAAAACATACCGGTATGATTGTGAAATAACTGTATTAAGCCGAATTAATATCAGTCGTGCTAATTGAGTGCATACATTTCAGCTGGTAATACTACTTCGGTATACTGAGCAAATTTTCCAGCATAGTTTCAAATTACATTTTGCATTAAGTGTTAATACACGAGCTGATAGATTTTTTTCGATGTTTTAGTGTAACAAAGTTTTTATTTTTATTAATCATGAAGTATCGTAGTGTCACTCGCACGTTTGTTAATTTAATACATTTAGATATTAATAAATAGTGCAGCGTATCTTATTTATATTTCTTAACGAAAAAAGAATATAATTAACTTTAAGGAAGTCTAATGTACGTTGAAAACGTTTACGCGAAAAGCCTGTACCGGTTTTGCCAGGCCAGCACATATTTGGCCACTGCTCTACGCAATCTCTACAGACGTATTCTTTATTCCGTTGGTGCAGTCAAACTATGCAAATGATAATTATACGAGTACAATCAATCTTATCCTCGTAACTATTGTTTTGTACTTTGTTCGCATTGTAATTACCAAACTATTAGTAATTATTGAATAACCCACGAGAATATATGAGTAACAACAACAACGGAATGCCAGTTATACCATTAGTAAGTAAACTAGTAGACCCCGCGCAAATTGCGCGCAACATATAGGCTACGGAATAGGAACAATTTAAAATCAGAAGGATGTCATGATTATTATTTATTTTTTTTTTGTGAAAAAGATCTCGGTTAACTTTTTGTATCATCCGTTGTATTGTTTGTGCGAATAATTTTTTGTTGCCAACTTCACAAACTTAAAGCAATCGTAAATTCCCATGGTCGGATACCGGAAACAGCACTATGACTCAGAACTATGGAGCACATGTTGCTCATTTGACGTTTCTGGTTTCTGCATATCCCACCCGTAAAAATAAGTTTTCCATCCGTGCCCTTTAAATCCGAAAGTATCAGTATGGGAAGTGGTGGGAAAGCGGAATGCAATCCCGTGGAAAAAAAATTGCCACGACTAATGTTTCACTTGATGCTCCGCTCGCGCCGCAGCTCGGCGTCGCCTGCGGCTTTGTCTTCGGTTCTTAGTATTCCACACGTTGGGAAAAAAATCAGATTTTCTGAAAATTTATGACGCAAAGGAAAAACCTAATGATCCGTGACATCTGGAGCCACCGTTGCCTACTCTTCTCAAATCAGACTTTTGCTGGCTCGGCTACTGACTTTGATATGTAAGATGTGTATCGAATGACAGACCCCGTGCAAATTGCGCGGTTTAAATCGGCTTCTTATCGTTCTGTAGATAATTTTTTTGCTGCTGATTTTTAAGGTTTTTTTCAAAATTTTCTCCCTGGCTGCTTCGCCTTCTGCTGGTTGTCACAGATTTTACAAAACAGAAATTGTAGAAAATCCTTTCTTACTGCTTTCGAGCCGGCAAACTCTGCCAAAAAATGCGTACGTCCATTGCTCACCAGTCACCAGCTGCTGCCCTTGGGCGCACTGCTACTTTAAAACTGGTCAGACGTCTGCGGAGGGCAGTTGTCTTAATGATCATGGTTGAAACTGCGCGATACGCTTCGACTCTTCGTTGCTTTTTTCATCAAACTCTCCTTTCTTTCGGAGTCTGAGTTTCGATGAGAAAATAGAAACGCAAGGCTACCCTATAATTTATAAACTTTCAAGTTTCGTTCCAGTGAAACGTTCTGGAAGCCCGTGGCTGCTTGGCAGCAAAGAGGTTTTTGGTTGTTTATTTGAGACAATGGTGAGGTGGTCGGTTCTGCAATGGTGGATTCTTCACTTCTCCCGTAGACTCGGCATGTTACGTTTTTTCAATTTTTTATGAAACTGGAACTGTTTTTCTCAGATCTGACTTTTGATGGCTCTACTACACGATAAGAGCTATCGAATGATACCAAGATATCGAAGTTTGGTCTTGTGTGTGGCTGGGACTGACTCCCCGCAGTTGAATTTTGAGCACTTCTTATTCTTTTAGTATAAAGGAATAAAGGATTACTAAATACTAAATTTAGTAATATTAAATTTTAGTATTACTAAGTATTAGTCGTACCACCAAACGGACGGACAAATATTTTAAAGGATTAAAATATTAATAATATTATTAAGATATTAATATTAAGAAGATTGATGTTATTAAGATTTGCCGTCATGCATGCCGGTTGTTATACCGTTCACGATAACAACAAGTTTAGCTCTCTATCGGTCAACCTGGAAAAGTGAAAGTGATCGCCGCCAAATCCCAGACATCTTCATCATTTATTGTTACGATTTAGATACACTACAATTTTCCGTGCGTTGTAATCCAAACACTGAGCATTTTCCGGTCAAACTCATAATCGTTTGAAATTCACTTCAGATGGAGCTCCTGTCAGCGGAAACCGGTGTGGACAAACGCACCCTCTTCAACAACATCCCGCTGAACATCACCTACCGCGCCCAGCGTAACCCCACCGCCCTGGGGCCTGTCGAAAGTCCGCTGGCGCCAGCGGCGCCGTCTACGGACTGGGTCGCCAGCACGATGGCCTGCACTACATCCTGTACGAGAAGCCCTGGTGGATGACCTCCTACAACTACTCCCACCCTTGTGCCGGCCACCGAGCAGCGTCTGGGCCTAGACAAGCGCAACTTCGACATGCTGGACACCCTGGCTTTGAGCGCTTCGAGAAGCGCAATCTGGACATGATCGATTCACCGGGATTCGGGCATTTCGTCAAGCGCAGCGTGAAGAATCCCGGAAGGGCGGACAGAAACGGAACTTCGACCAGATCGACTCGCCGACGGATTTATGGAGTATTTTCATTTTTATCCGTAGCGCCGTTAACTGCTATTAGATTTAGTGTAGTATATTTTATTTCTGTTTGATAGACAAACGTTCCAAAGCTTTTATTCATGTGCCGCGTAGTAGCTGCTTGCAATTTTACTCTCCTAGTCAAATATCCAGTTTTAGAGGTTGTAGCTCTGCTGTTTCGTACGCCGTATCGGTCCGGAAAGGTCATGCGTTGTAAGCTAAAATGCCAAAGGTCACTAAAATAATTCCCCGCTGATAAATGCATTGCCGCGTAATAAACTGTCATAAAAGCCAGAATATTCTTAGTACTGTGAATTGCAGCGTCCTTGCTTGCAAATAAGTGACTCAATTATGTTGTCCAAAATGGACTGAAGTGCGCGCATTACAGCATGAGACACAACAAAATTTTGGCTTCATTTCGGTAATGCAAAAATGAAATAATCAACATGTACTTTTATTATGCCATGTGTGAAGTTCAGTTTTAATGGATGCATCATGCATGTAATAAAATTAATGCAAAGTTGCAAACAAAGCCGGTCTGTTAAATAAGACCTTTATTTTTCCCCGAACCTTTTCCACAAACCTTTTTATAAAATTAATGGTAATGTTAACATAAAATGTGTAGAACAAATATTAATTTATTATGCAAGAATTCGGGAACAATTATTACAGATGTGGCCAAATTAATAATGAATTGTATGGTACGAGTAGTTGCGGAAACCGATAGAAGTACAAGACACCGCGTAACAATTTTATCATTCAGGGTTGCGTTTGGTTTGGCGTTCGATCGCTGTAGCACAGTAGGTAACATTTAGATGAGTGTGGCAAGACTACGAGTATAGGATACTCGTACAAAATACACGGGCAGAGCAAGTGAATGACAGATTTCAATGCCACGTCACTTCCGCTTGACTGTATAGCAGTGAATCTAGCCGAAAGGATTACCGCCTGACCCAATAAACACATAGCTTGATTCATCCACAACGTCGGCCAGGAGATCCTGGTGTGTCACATTAAACTGTTCGTAAGGCTTGTCCAGCAAGAGATAATTCTGGGCGGAGTTCCGGCCTACGAGGTGAGTCAGTTCCTGCTCTAGCTGGCTGAAGGCCGGTCGCTCTACTGGCCGCAAACGCCAACAATGCAGCATGATGTCATACCTGTTAAGGGCACAATACACAGAGTAGATAGTAGTGCTACCGGCAACCGGTTGCAATGAGATGCCAAATGTAACCTACACTGCGCTCGGACAGACTGGCGGCCGCTCCATGTAGTGACCGGCCAGCAGCGCGGTGAGAAAGTCGGTAGCATTCCCGGCGTTCAGGGCAGCGCTGGTATGGGGCGTCTCGCCCAGACTGTAGATCTCCCAGGTCAGGACGCCGAAGGACCACACGTCCGACTTGTGCGAGAACGTCCGCTGCCAGATGGATTCGGGCACCATCCAGCGCACCGGCAGTGCCACCTGCAGTTGTTGTCATAGATTTCCTAGTCTTCGAGCCTTCATAACTTTACGTTTCTCAAGTTTTCGTAGATTTTCTTAGGTACTTTAGTCCCTCTTTCTAGTACTGTTGTAACAAACGTGTGCGGGCAGTTCTTACGCGCTCGTTGAGGAGGACATACTCGGAGAGCTGCCGGGCCATACCGAAATCGGCGATTTTGACCACCCCGCCCGGACAGACCAGGATATTGCGGGCTGCCAGATCGCGATGGATGATGGAGCGACTGCTGAGGAAAGCCATGCCGCGGCTGATTTGGAAGGTGAAACTAATTAGGTCGCCGGTCGACAGCGCCCTCCCATCCATGCCCTCGTCCTCGATGGACGCTGAGGTTTCCATATTCGTGAGCTGTTGCGAGCAGACGGTTCCAGCTTCGCTGTTAGCCAGCAGCGGACTAGGATCCATGCAGTTATGGAAAATAACGTTACGGTGACGCTGAAGGTACCGAAGCAACGATCCATGTTCCGAATATTCCAACAGCAGAAACGTTTCGTCTGCAAGTATCGCAGACGGTAAATGCCAGGAGCAAGCAATACACTCCGTTGACATCAGTAAAATACATATATGATCGCGTCATATAGCTATAGGATGATAAGCTTTTCTATGATAAATGGATTCTACCTTTAAAGACAGCGCCGAGGAGGTTGGTGATATTAAGATGGCGACCGGCCTTCGTCATAACCTTCATCTCTTGAATAATCTGGCGGTTCTGTTCCGGGTCGTTGGTGTTCCGCACCATCTTGATGGCCACCAGAGTGGGCAGTGGTTGGCCACGCAGTCCCGTGGCCACGCCTCGGCGCACAATGCCGTGCTCGCCCTTTCCCAGAACAGCTCCTACCAACAGACCCATCTTTTTATCACGGGTATATGCCACTGTATAAAACTGTATTATAATTTTCTTCTAAATGGCCTCGCAAAAGAAAGCCTAGGCGCGTCACGTGAAGGTTTCCGTGGTCTCTTATCCGTCTAGAGAAAGATACGTTTCTACAGATTAAGGGCAACCGGTAACAACTTGACTTGCTGGGGCGTATCTAACGGTTATCAGCTTTTTACTCGTATTACCAACTTTGACTTAACTACCTAGTACGACTAAAAGCCGAATTAGTAATTACCTACTTTAGGCAATTAATAAGACTGCATACACATCAGGTGAAAGCTGCAAGGTACTCTGTATGTGCACTGACATTGTATTGCACAGTACACATGCTGTACACATACAGTACACATGCCAAAATCAACCCCAAAAAATATAATGGAAATAGATTAGCACAGAAAATGGGTGCTTGGAAATCGTTTTGAAATTCATTTACTGAATTTCTGCAAACTTTTGTTGCTCAAGGAGCTTACCATTAGTGTACGGTACTTATCGACATCGTACAGAGTACATAATAATTATTAGAGAAAGCGTTTCTGGTGGGCGCCAAAACCACCGACGCTTATTTCCGGCGTTCCTTCATTGATTCTCATTCGACAACTACCGAACTATGCATTCTTACAATGTTAAAATTAAATATGCCGAATTATTGCCGATAAAGCCCGATATCATTGCGGTCAGTCAGGGTCCAAACTCAAAGTAGCACTGATATTACCAAAACATCGAAGTACATGCCACATCACATACTGCAACAGCTTTTTCTTATAAAGAACCCCGATTTATTCCATAAATCCGGGCTTACCAATTTCGACGTTGGTAATGGAAATCTCCAACAATTTAACATAGTGCTGTATGGCCTGGTCCACCTGCTCGTAGCCAGCTTTAATGTGGCACGCCAGGGAAGATTTTGTAGTGAGCCTCAGGGAATCCGGGCCCTTGCGCATGTCACCACGCCGCAGTCGTTGGCGCTGTTTCCAAAACACGCACCCGATGAGGACGACAATGACGGTAAAAACCAGCACTCCCACTAGACTTCCGAGGACGATGGTCACCACCGGACTATTCTCCCGGGTCACGGCCGTAATGTTAACCCACGGTGACACATCGATGTCGCCCTGGCGCACCACCACGTAGTCAATGAGGAACTCCGTGGGGAACTCCGTACTGTTATCGGGACTGCCGGAGAAATAACCTCCGACAGCCACATTCATGACAACCTGCAATGCCACCGTCGGGACCTTTTCAGCGCCCGTAACGGAGAGAACCAGAGCCCCGTCCACGAACCACAACAGCGCCTCCGCCGTCCAGATCAGTTTGTACACGTGGAAGTCCGCCGACATGTCCTGCTTCATGTCCACCTGCTTCTCGGTCTTCACGGGTGACTGATCCTGGCCTCCGGTGTTGTAAAAGACCGTGCTGACGATGACATTAGGTTCCTGGCCGCGAACGTCGATGACGCTGATGGCCGGCGGCCAAAACTCGCCGCAGGGGCGCGCGGCGACACACTGCGGGTGGGCCAGCCACAGCGCTGGCCACATACCACGACCGGTGGGGATCCGGGCCCGCCACTCGATCTCGCCGTGCCGGAAACTGAACTTCCCGCGGGTATCCACCCGCCCTGAAGTGTACCCGCAGTCTCCGTATTCTTCCCGCCGACTGACAAGACCCAGTGTTCCGTTGACGAGGCGGACGTTGTCCGGTCGGTAGTACTGTAGTTCATTGTTGACAAAAGATTTGGTGTCAGCGGGGTTCCACCGGGTTAGGTTCAGCGTGTGTTCGTCAAAATCATCACGAAAAATTTCCTGTAAAGCAGTTTCCGTTTCGCCGGCCGTTAAGGCGACCATGAGATGTAGAATGCCGAACACAATAAGCAATAAGGTAAAATAAGCAAAACACTGAAGAAACGCTTCCACGGTATAAACGGTTCCACAGCGCCCATCATAGCATCGACACTGCAGAATGCCTGGTCAGTTTTAACTAAAATACGCGATGGTAGTCAGAGCCAGTTGCGGTTAGCGGAACGGAGAAGAAAGCTGCTACGTACCCAAAAATTAGCCGAAACCAATAGGATGGCCATGTTCAGCGTAAAATACGTAACCCGGTTCAACGGAAGGGCGCGGTTAGATGGACCATCGTGATTAAAACAGTTCTGCGTCACCTTTCCTGAAACACAGTAAGGAAGTAACCGGCAAATATAACGCATTAATATTACGTATAACTTATATGCGTCACTATGTGCAAAGTGCATATATAGATATATCACTTCCGCACAAATGTATCACGTTACAACTGTAGTCAACCATACATATTCACAGCTTCACCTCGCATACGTATGTTCATACTCATACTGGGATACTGGATACCTATGTACAGTGCAATAGTACTTTAACTCGCATAGATACAGCACGATATTAATTTCTAGTTAATATGTATGTTATACTGTACAATGTACAATACGTGATAGGTACATAATTATACGCAACAGAAAAATTAATACATAATCAAAATGTTTACACTAATAGGTAATATTCTTTCGTAATACTGCAGATAATTATGTTGGTTGTTAATTATGAACAAATAGATCCGAATTCGTTAATAATGAATCGGTTTGTACTTTCTGCGAGTAGAACACATATTAATTTCAAACTCTGGAAGTTATCACACTAGGTTGCGGTGATTTTGAGTCATTTTACAGTACTCGTACGTATAGATGTAGTATGTACGGTGTGTTGCACATTTGACGCATGTATATGAAACAGCCCAAAACAGCCCAAAACAGCCCGCGCCGAAATTTATAAAAGCAATAAAAAGCACTGCCGTGTGACAATAATACGTCGGATATCGCGATCCCGATCCGCCCATCAAAATCGATATAATATCGTACATACACACAATTAGTGTCGATTATATGCCGGTTGTGACATGTGAGTTTTAAATTGGGCGGTTATGATTTGTTTATTTAACAGAAAGGCTATTTGTGCGTCGGTACGCAGCGTCTTATATGCCTACTGTGCAGTGCGCACCGTGCAGTAGCAATAACAAGTACGTATTAGCAACACTAACAACGCGTGATGTGCAGCGGCGCCCGACTGACAGCGTGATGCGTGTTAGCGGCGGAGTGTCTTCCTGTTGTTCTTGTATCACTATCCGACAATCGTTCCATCCTATGCTGAGCTGCGAATACTGCGCACTGTATACCTACTCCAGTTGCCGGCAGTTTACAATCCGCTCACGCGTGTTTGTTGATCTGCTGCATACTTTCATAAAAGCACTGGAATACACATATATACGATTTTGATTAAAAATTTTTATCCATGCATATTGCATAGTACAATATTTATCAGAAAATGGCTAGCGCATTGTGTGAACCATCCGCAATAATAAAATTAATTATTTGAACAAAAATCTGAAGCCGCAGAATACAGTCGTTCGCACGAAAACTGCCTTATACTAAATTTTTATCACACATGTAAGTGCTTATCAACAATTTTAAACATCTTTAAAAAAACAGTGATTTAAAAATCGCAATTGAAAACAGCAAAATGTAACATCCAAGGACAAAAAAAATTTGTATATTTATTATTTAAGCGTCACGAAAATTATTGTGAGTCGAAAATTATTGGTCTGCACTCTGCATACATATCGGCTGCGCAACATAAACAATTTTTAAAGTACTTCGCGCCACTGGACAACAAAAGCTCCACTTTTCAGCTCCGCTAGCTCTCTTGCTTTCAAAACATTGACCACCCGTTCTAGCTCTGTCAAAGCATCCTCGTCAATTAGTAATTAAATAAAAGTGCTTAGATAAAAAGAACTAATTAAATAAAAATAAAGTTAAAACGTTAAACATCACAGCTGAACATACGTTTAACACTATTTTCCGTGCGGCGCACTAAATTTTGGCAATCAGCGTTTTCTGTGCAGTACAAACTATTGCAGTTCATTCTTGGGAAAATATTTCCTCCATGCGTAGCAAAGCCAAACTCGTTAATACATTCCTTCCAAAATAAATTGCAGAAAAATAGGATTCAGCATTTAATGGCTTTTTTGTAGAGATTTTAATTTGCATTGGACATATCTCGAAAAAATTATCTTGAATATAAATGGCAGAATAATCGGTGCACGACTGCAATTGCAGACGCCGAGAGCGCATCAAATTACCGCTCATAAACATAAGTGCAATGTGTTGATAACTAAGTGCTTATCAAAACACAGCGTTTTCATTCTGACACATCGTATCATCATAGTCAGATACCCGATCGAGGCTCCATATTAATAGCCAGCATTTGAGCTAAACTGACACTTTTAACTTTCGCAGCAGATCTCCCATTTCATTCGACTAGACTGCGTCTAAGCGTGCTTTTTCAAGGTGACGGTAAAATGGCCAAAAAATCCGGCGTGTTGGGGAAAATTGGCGGGAATAAGCGGAAACGCGGCGCACGTTATACGGAAAAGCCGGCACAGCGCAATGCCGCCAACGCACGGGAAAGGGCACGGATGCGGATTCTTAGCAAGGCGTTCGGACGATTGAAGACGGCGCTGCCGTGGGTGCCGCCTGATACCAAACTATCCAAGTAAGTTCGATGCAGATGCTTTGTTATTAAAACGGCGTTTTTATAAGCTTAAAGAAGTTTTTGATAAGCTTAAAGAAGAAGACGCATATTTATATACATTGTACAGTATATTAGCTGCTTCATACATGCGTGCCGGTGCAGGAGCTTTGCTTGATTTGCACAAAAATTGGCGTTAAAAAATGGAAATCAAATAACTAGCTACGTTTTCTCCACGATTTCCTTTCTAAAAAACTGTAAACATAACAGTCTAATTTCTGGTTAATACGGATTTACAACGTTGTCAAATGGATTTGATTGTTGGCGCGAATCGAAGATATGAAACAGACTGTATATTAGGCTGTTATATCACTGGTTTGTCATTGTGTGAGAGTATGTTTTTTATGATTTATATTATAATAATAAATTTCAAAGAAATATTACACGTACAGTCGTACATGTATCGAAATACTTCGTAATATAAGCATTTCTATGTGTTATTGGCCTACTACAACTTGAATTTTGTGGTCACATCAGAAACGCTGCATCCTGTAGCAAAACTGACAATATTGTTTTACGTATGGGAATAAGAGTAAGGACACAAATTATCGCGGCCGGATATGTATCCTTATTGCCAGTTTGCAACCCAGTTAATTCGAGTACTTTATAAGATATCAATTTATTGACTTAAATACGTTGTATGAAAACAATTTTATATTAGTTACCTCCTAGAACAACAATTAAAAATACATATTTTGTCTTTTTTTATTTTCAGTTACATTTGTACCTTGTAACTTCTGTACAATAATGTACATATGCACCAGCATGCGTAAATGCACATTCACGTTTAAAAGAAAGCACCCTTACACTGCGATTGCTAGCTATTACAAGCAAGGAAATGCTAAACCATGCCGAGTTATATCACCGACAAATAAAATTTAGCAATACATTGACACGTAACTTTTTATGTTTAACAGGCTGGATACACTACGCTTGGCCTCTTTATATATAACCCATCTAGCCACACTGCTGTCCCAGGACCATCCATCGGAATGCTCAACGGAAATACCGGCACTGAAAATGGTGAGTTTAAATTCACTGCATGGCATAACATGCTAGTTTAATTATTTTTCGTATCCGCAGATTTTCCACGTACATCGAACTTATATTTGGAAATTGGAAACAATAATATATGCGTTAATAATAAAATTGTTGGCCTGGGTACATTATAGCAACAATTAATGTGGATGAATTAATGTGGATAATCCAGAAAAATTATTCCGATGGTTACGTATTTGTGCTTACCTTAATTACAGCAAATTATCTGCTTTAATTTGCAAATACTTTTAATTTCAGTTATTCTTATGGTACTATATAAATTCGTAAAAAAACCGACCTAGTTACTCCGCTCTTTCTCCAAAATTCGGCATCTGGGTGCGTCTACCTAAGTAGTAATTATTATTTGGTTCATTTGCCGCTGTGAGATAATTTTGATACTTTGAGTACCATTACTTTGATGCGAGAGCTAGTACAGCAAATTCAGAGCGTAAATAATCGCATCGGTCGTAAATGTTTTTTAGTATTAATAGAATTAGAATGCTTGATGGATATGCGTACGTTTTCAGAGTAACTTCACTGAGTATGCTACATACCTAACTGCTGCGGCGCTGCCTAAACAACAATCTGCTGTATAAAACGCACGAACAAATACACCCGAACAAAATTACATACTGTATAATATATATTAAGCAGTGCTACTGCAGTAGTTATTATAAATGAAATTTCGACGGATATCTACCGAACTATAAATTTACAGACATGGCCGTGTTTGGCCGCTCAAGCCAAACGAATGATTCCCGATGCCTCCCATTAAAGGATCCCGGAAAAAGGCCCGTAACGAAATGGAAATGCAACGGAAATAATAAATTTTCTGCTGCTGCTGCTGTTCTTTTTGTCATTTTTTACCCTGGTCTTTCTTTCTGATTTTCGGCGCAAGCTTCGCCGCAAAATATTAAAACAGCTAAATAGTTCAAATATTAAAAAAAATGAAAAATGGTTGCCCGTCTTTATATTTGCAAAATTCCGATTCTTGTTTCCAGTGTGTTTCGGTATTTCGATTGCTGGTATCGTATGTACAGCCTGTATGGTACTTTTAGTCTGTCACTACTATGCAGTTGTAATACATAAATGCAAAATTGCATGAAATGAGAAAGCGCCAATAGAATAATATCTTTAATGCGTACAGGTAGATAATTTAGCGTACTTTAACAGAGTAGTCCAGAAGATACATAAGAAACGAAAGGTACAAAAAAATGCGCGTGGGGCCGTTGCAATGATGCCATGACCTCCGCTGTGGATTCCGCCAAAGTCTTGATTAAGCGCTTTTCCACGAGGACGTGGAAAAGCGCTTCCACACTTTTCCATCATTCCCTTCAAAGTGTTAACTGCAAAACATTATTATTACGCTATGAACTGAGTGTAGACGCACTTCTAGACGAGTAACACTAGTACACTTGTACTTAAAAAGGTCACTTGCAAATAATACTGCCGTAATGAAAGTAATACTGTCGTGTGAAAAGAATATAGTCGTGACGAAACGAGTAAATTCCCGACATACACATGTATATAATATTGTACATGCTTCGGTTTATCATATTATAATATTTCGGTCATTTTAAGTATACGTTTCCATATTTTGGCCACCCGGTGTTAAGATTTCCTGGCAAATAAGAATACCAAAAATAAATAGATTTCGTATCAGAAACTTCGCTCATGAATTTCGAAGCATAAACTTAAAAAGATTTGATGAATAAGCCAAACGAAGAACTGGAATCGGACCGGGTGAAATGTAAAAGAACCTCTCTTCCACGCTTGCAAATTTCAGAAACTTAAAATTCCAAGCATTTTCATGATCAGTTATGTTTTGATGACCACAGACCAGTGAAAAGCAAAACAAAGAGCCCGTTGTGCGATCAGGCTGCTCATGTAGCGCGCCACATGGGTGTGGTGAAAGTGACCGGGTGTAGCCGGCAGGAAGGTGGACGGGTGGATGGTGGATCTTCAATGAAGGTCATCCACCTTTCTGCAAAGGTCATCCACCTTTCACATCCACCTTTTTGTAAAGCTTATCCACCTTTCTGCAAAGGTCATCCACCTTTTCGCAAAGGGCGTCCACCTTTCTGCATAATGTAATCTATCCTTTTGCGAATGAAAATCCACCTCTCTATCGAGCCTCATCCAGGTTTTTCCGGCTTCTTTTGAATACTTGTATGATGAGGATGACACTCACGCATGATCTCCTGCTGGTTTCGTTGTTATTATTCCTATCACCGTCTAAGCGGTTTTAATCCGTACGTATTGTCCACCTAATTGTTTTATCAAAAATCTCAAAATTTCAAAAAAAAATCTCAAAATAGAAAAAATCAAAGTTTTATCAAAAATCTCAAAATAGAAAATAAAAAGCTCAGGGAATTGCTCTGGCATATACTGTTGCTGTTTTCGGGGAAAAGTCAGCTGATGCATTTTTACAGCGCATTAGGAATTCTAAAACGATTAGCTATAACAACCTTGGAGGACAATGCGCACGAGTCTATGCTGCACGGGTGATGAAAAAAATAAAATCAAAAAGGTAGGCAAGACAGTATTCGTGAGCTTTATCTCACCAGGTAATCAACTGACCGGCAAAAAGTGAACGAGGTTCGATTCACCTTTCTGCAATGTTCATCCACCTTTCTGCAAAGGTCATCCACCTTTCTACAAAGGTCATCCACCTTTCAAAAAAATTCTTCTACAGATACGTGGGTATATGTACATTACTGCGAAATAATTCCGCTTTTTTGTTTTGCCTGAGCCTTTTTTGCCGATCTTTGAATACTTGACGGTTTTAAAACTTACGAATACTGCCTTTCGTGAATCGTCGTAATTTTTTTCAGCGTCTGAGGATATCCAATTAAAAATATGATCTGAAATTTCAATTGCCGGCTTTGATTCAAAAGAGAAACAATAACGGTTGAGGTGCGCTGGTGCGCTGCTAAACATAAAGTAATGTACAATATTTACCGTTCAAAGTTGGACATTTAATTACATTAATTTTGGTTGCCCTTTCTGTTTCTTATGTAACGTAATTAGTGTTTGATGTATTTCGTTACCTAAATCATATCTAATGATTTTTTTCGAATAATTTTGCGTGAACATATTTTGCGCCGTTGTAACGAAAGTCTCAATCCGTGTACAAGCTAAGAATTTTTAAAGACAATCAGAGTCAAATTAGTATCGAAATTCACCAGTAAATGTATGATTTGCGATTGTCTTGGATGATTGCATCACGAACATCCTTGCGCAAATGCCGTTTTTGTTCAAAGAAATAAACCGATGCAACCTGATCGAACATATATTAAGTAGAGCAGAAAGGTGGATGATCTTCGGCAGAAAGGTGAATGACCTTTGGAGAAGGTGGATGACCTTTGCAGAAAGGTGGATGACCTTGGGTGAAAGGTGGATGAGCTTTGGAGTTAGGTGGAGTACCGTAAGAGCGCTCAGTAAATATGCTGCAATATGCGAACTTTGCTGTCCTGAACTGAAAATCCTAGAGCACATAAGGTTGCAGAACTGTTACCTGTAAACGGGAAGTAGCGCGGACACGGCAACCAAAACGAGGACGTTGCCGTGTTTTCCTCTTCACTCGAAGAGCTGCGCTCCGTTCTGCCACTGCCCAGTTAGGCACATCTTCCTCGTAGGTGCCACTAACTGTAAGCAAAACAGAGCCTACACTGAATCTCTACAGTATGGCTTTGGCCACTCTGAGCCATATTCTAAGGTGAAGCGGTATTCATATGGAGTAAATTTCTTCAAATGTACACATGGTCCCGATTTTAGATCACTGGATACCAAAAACGGTTTAATTGGCTTTAAAGGTGTCTACAGCTGGTTTAGAGATTAACTTGTATTGCGACGAGAGTTATTTCCCAAAAGGTGTAGCAGTGACTGGACGTTCAGCAAAGCTGGGATAGCTGATAAGTAAGCAGAAAGTTAACACGTTCGACAGAACGGTGGTTGACCTTTGCAGAAAGGTGGATAACCTTCACAAAAAGGTGGATGAGAAAGGTGGATGACCTTTGCGGAAAGGTGGATGAGAAAGGTGGATGACCTTTCCAGAAAGGTGGATGACCTTCATTGAGGATCCACCATCCACCCGTCCACCTTCCTGCCGGCTACAACCGGGGACCAAAATATGGAATCGTACAGGTATGCTTGAAGTGATCGAATTATGAGAAAACTCCAAGTGGTACGATTTTTCTACTTATATTTCGTATATGCATATAAATCTAAAGCCGAAGAAAGGAAAACAAAAGGAAGTATTCAGAATTAAAGCTTAGCCGTTGAGTGTCGTTACTCGTATTACTAGGCGAATGCGAAATGTCTGAATAAATCAGAATACTCTTGTACTGAAACTTTTAGGCATGCATCTTATACCGTATTTTCTTAAATGGTTATCCTCCCCGATTTAGAAGCCCACCCCGAAATAAAGATCCCACTGAAAGGCCGTTTTCGCAATACGAAAGATGCAATACCCTTTGAAAGTGTTCTCCCCGAATCCATCCAAATCCTTTACGAAAAACTAGTAAAGCTAGTCTCGTGTTATTAAAATACGGTAGCACAAACTAATGTACAGAATGCAGATGCTGTACGGTGTACGTACAAAAGGCCGAGTTATGGTCCACCATGCTGGTTTCCGGATCCGGCAGCGGCATAGGCTCCATGGACGGTGGTGTCGATGAACTCGTGGATGGATGCGCCCTCTCGTCCTGCCACGATTGTTCAAACTCGTATACATCCGGCGGGCTGTTGCCGGCGACACTAGCGCTGCGCGGCTGTGTCGTCTTGTCCACAATAACGGCTTGTCTCGCACTGGACCTGGCACCATCGATATCACTTACCAACCGGATGCGTTTCATCACCGCCGCGCTCCGTGTCACTCGTCCCTTCAGCGAAACCTTCGGCTTCGTAAATAAAAACGACCGTCCAACCAACAACACTTTTTATAACAAGTTAATAACTATGTATTTAGGATTTTCAAAGATTTTCTGGCTTAAACTAGGCGTATAAATCGGTCCCACAATTTAAATATGTTCGTACCTTGCGGATGGCCCAACGCCGCCGCGATTAACTTCCATTCCTCATCTTTATCCTTCACATTGTACAACGGATCATCCCGTCGCCACAACTGCGGTTGCTTCTCCACCAGATCGATGAGTTTATGCGTCCAGGCCGGGTCCATGCGGTGCCTGTGGGACACGGGCTCCATGCCGTTGTCTGTCATACCGAGCACAGAGAATTGTGATGGCAAACTGAATTGACGCGGAATTTTCGTTTGGAAGACCAGGAGCAGCGGACAGCTGGTAGGTTGACAACTTGAAACGTTCAGAAAGTCCACAAGTGCAGCGTCCTACCAGATCCGCTCTACGGACTTCAGTCGGACAACATCCATAAACGTACACAAAAAGACAAGTACGGTGAAGTACTGTGAAACGAAACTGGACGGGTTGTGGTTGGCACTTGCTCGTGTTATTGGATCTAGTGAACTGTAACATGGACAGTGCTATTGAGTAATTAAATTGTACGATCGATAATAGCGGATAAGGTCAACAACCACAACGCTAATAAGTTACAGATCGATATAAGCCTTGTATTTCAGGGAGCTTTATAAACCGATGCAGATACCTGTACATTATAAACGGTTGTAAAATTCGGTACTTAACTGGAGATTGGAGAAGCACGGACTTCCTACGGCTTTTACCAAGCAGCGTTTTAGCTTAGCAGTTGCTAAAAGATCGGTACGAGTGCTTTGAGTATTTTGCCTTTTAACCTTTAACCGAAGACAAGACTTTGGTTGTTTTTCTAATGTTTAAAGTTTTACCATCAGTATAAACTGCAGTACTGTACCAGCGCTGGTAACTGTTGTTACATACTTACGTTAGGAACTTAGGTGGCTACACCTATTGCCATAAAATGATAGAAAACCTTGTACGCAATCAAACTCGTCAAAATCGTGCGAGATAAAGTGGCAAAACCAGAAATCAAGAAAAAAGTACTGAACTTGTTGCAAGATTATCGTTCAGCCAAAACGGATGATTAATCACAGCTGCATCTACAGATA